GAAATTTTTAGTACGGAATGTACTTATTTACCAGAATTTTACAGTCTGATCGTTGGCGGATTTTATCAATCGGGAATTAAGCTCTTTACAATGCAATGCGCGGTGGATGCCTTCCTCGTCGATGTTGTTCAGAATTCATAATTCGCGAATAAAAAGGGAATTGCCTAAAAGAGTGGAAAGTACGGCTGATAGATGGAAAAATGATGGAAAAAAGCCGCTATTTTTTGTGGATTACATTATTCAGCGTTTCGGAACTAACAACGATTGTAACAAACTGCGTTATCCAGTGATGCAAAATATCTCTTATGAATTTTTTAATGGTATGTTTTTTTCCACGTCGTGGCTAATGAACGCTACCTGTATACTCGGTGACCGAGTTATTAAATATTGGAAGCACGTAACAAAAAGGGCAAAAAGCCATTTCGATATAAATAGAAATTGCGGAGAAAAATTACAGAGAAAAGTCCATATAATACCGAATATAATTGAATAAAATGTATAAAAATTTATCTAAAAATTATCTAAAATAAGAATTATATATCATATAGTGTGTTCAGTTCTTACTCAGTATTAATATTATAATTCCGCATATAATAGACATTTTATAAATAAATAATTATGCTCTATTTACATAATTACTTATTTACATTCCTATACATGATATAGTTAGTAATTAGTATATGGTAATAAGACAAACATAGTAGAATTAATAGTTAATAAATACGAACGAAAAATAACGCAAAGTATTTGAAATAAAATAATATAAAGTGATATTATAAATTATAATAATCTCAAATACCTAACTATAAAACAGTGACATGTTCCTATCAACTTTCAAGTGTCGTACGATGGTCGATTTTTCTGTGAAAACTTGCATGGTCCTCGGGAGGTTTTCTATCTCTATCTAAACGTGGGGTGTACAAGCGACTTCGTCCTGGGATTCGAAGGATTACGTGCAGGAAAATGTGGCTTCAGGCCAGATACGAAATGTCATTACGTCGGATAATGATAGGTACATTGTAGCCATTGAAGGATAGCTTCACTCGAATATAGCGAGTCGTAGAATTGTGATAAGCGATCTTTTTTTAAAAATTGTTTTGCATTTTTTTAATAATTTTCAAACGTGTAAAATAATGCAACATAATTTTATGTTCAAAAACCTTGGTTTCGTAGAATAATTTTTACCCCTAATAATAATAATACCTTTTGAATTATTCAATCGATCATCGTTTTCTCGATGAAATTGCATTCAAGAGATATCTTCGAGAAAATTACTATATATTTTTAATCTCACAATTATTTAATGTACACATTAAAACGTTTTGGTGAAATATTTCATAAAATTTCAATAATAATATTGCTTTCCTGATTATAATACCACATGCGAAAAACACGCCTAGTATTCTTAATACAATTATTTATTCATCGGACAAAAGAAATTCTAATGCAGTTTTTATTTGATCTTATCGCATTGCATAATTTAAAAGAATTATGCAATATTTGTTTCATTTAAAAAATCTCATGTTACGCATATTTTCTCGCGACGGAAAGACACGACAAACCAACACACACGACAAACGATTCGTTTTATCGTCAGTGACGCAACGAGCAGTCTTAGACTTACGATCATTATGCGGCAAAGTTATATAAATATTTTCTTGCACTTTTAATGAACGCGCGGTTTCGAGACAGTGCGAGTCTCAAAACGTATAATCTTTATTCGTACCGCGGAGCTCATCAAGATCAATTAGAGCAGCTATATGGTCGAGCCATAATCGACCGTTAACGATATATCAATTACAGCGTTAGACGTAGATAATGACTATTAATGACTTCATTCAGAGCGCAATAATTACACGATACGTCCACGAGCATTGAGGACAGATCTAGGTCGGTGCGACTTTCCATGGCAGTTTATCGTGTGCAGGTTATCGAAGCATTCATCCTGATTTACGATTGAAATAACGCACCAATACGGAATGAATTAACATTTTAATCTACCAGAATATTGCATGTCGCTCGCGAGACTAACGCGAGAGACTCGGTGTCTCAAACACCGATGTGATCCAAATTGATTTTTGTACGCAAGAAAATCAATGTTATTAGTTGCCATTATCTCTCAATTAATTGTGGATATATTGAGAGTTTACGTGTGTTATAAATTATTTTATTCATTGGAGATTTATATATTTTTTAAATGCCTTTTAAATATTTGGATTGGTTCTTAACCCTCAGTTACCTCTCTGGATTACGTTAACCCATATCAAAAATAATTAGAAATCTGGTGACATTTGTACCGATATATTCTTTTTTCTTACTGTCTGGCGTATCGATTAAAAAAAAAATACTTCAAAATAGCTTTATTAGATCCAGAAATATAAACAAAAGAAGACTCTGGGTTACTCTAACCCATGAGTGGTAAAATAGGGTGGCCAAAAATGAGTAATAACTGAGGGTTAAGTTTATAACTGTTAGATACACAGATGTTTTATATTTTTTACTTAAAAGTCATTCAATTAACTTTCGGAATCATTGAGACAGATATTACAAATAATACTTTTTTCCAAACTAGAATCAAAGTAATATCGCACATGCAAGATCGCGTGTCTAGTGTTCGGCATTGCGAAGAGGTATTCGGGAAGCAATAGCGAAAATGTTCGGGCAGGTCTTCCGAGAACTCATAAATCACACCAGAAGGAACATCCGGTTCACATGTAGTGACGTTTACTTGAGATTTTCCATCGGGAAAAAAGGAAGCGTTTTCCGCTGTAAAGAAAATCCTCAAATTTCCCTTTTCTACGCAGATAAAAGGCGGCTTGTTTAATGACAAATACCTGAAATGCGGTCAATATTCTCTTATCTGATTGCTTCGAATAGAAGAATTAAACAGATACAGATCTCTAACAGAAATACTTCCGCTTTTCTATTATCTACTGTACATCGTCCCCTAATATGAACAAGTTGTCACTACTTAATCCGCAAAATTTGTCCCATTCTTTCTTTTCTTCTGGGGTCGACGGGGACTCTTAAGGTTTTAAATATGTATATATTTTCTTAAAAATCATTAAGAGAGCCCTAAAAAATAATCGATAAGTAGCAAGAATTAAAGAAATGTCTGTATTAAAATATGCAAGCAATAATTGTTTAAATAATGTTGAAGGGACAATTGATATTTTTTTGTTCAATTCAACGATACATATTCTTAAAAAGAATTATTTCGCCGAGGCATATAATTGACTAAAGAATTTGAAACATTGAAAGCCACGAAGGAGGAGGGCAGAAATATTTCTGCATGATATTCCTTTCATTTTCTCGCACAAAGACGAAGAAAGCAAAGATTTGAGACTGATTCAAATGCTATTTTAAAGCTATCCTGGAACTTCGATGCTGGAGCGTATCGCCAGATAGAAGGATAGAGAGACGGAAAAAGAGAGAGAGAGAGAGAGCACGACGTCAAAACACAATTTGAAAGACGTAATTCGAAAATCGTCGTTCGCCCGACGGCAGCGACCCTCCGTCGGATGTCAAAATGAAATTACGCGACCCTCCACGCGGGGACCTTGGGGCAAGCACAAAGGCTCGTTTGCCGAGGACACAGTACAACAATCTGTCTAAAGGGACCTAAACCACTAATCGTTTCGCGATTAACTTCCATTAAACGCTACTTAATGAACAAAACTTTCCTTCTACCTTATAACCGACGATTTCTAAGACGTATGTGAATCGGTTTCTTCGATTTATCACGGTAGATTATTCTTCGCATGTGACATTTTGTATCAAACGATTTACCCTGATAAGTAGAATTATGACGATCGATAAATCGTTCTCATATTTTTGTTTCGTCATTGACCTGTTGTATAGGAAATTTCAATACAGGACGGAAGCGAAACGAAGTTATAGTGTAGGGACATAAAAGATTTGCTAAACTTTACACCGTGACAATATGTCTTCCATATGTCTATTATTTAGCCATGTGTTTGTAGTATTGATGATATATGGAACAAATGTGTTCCTTTGTTCTATGCAGAAGAATTATTTAACACTTTTGATATTGTGGATTCAATAAATATAATCATTATAATTTAATTATTACTCACTAATAATTTGATTATCATTTCATTTAATTATTGCTATTAATACACGAACTTCGATTTAACGATTGCTACCGTGTGTGTTTATATTTAGTCTTAAATAATCAAATTATTATGGTTATTATTGATTTGATTTATATTTATGTTCGTTAACTTGTCGTATGTTTAATGATTTAAAGATTCGAATGAACAAAAATATTAGAACAGTGACAAATATGAAATATTCTACTTTCTTCTTGTCAGGGATTGTGAATAAAACTATTAACTTTTATAATAGAGATTTATCCTTCACTAAGAAGACGGCAATGTTTGTACATATTGTTTTGTACATTACATATAACATATTTGAACTTTTAAACAATCACTGTCGCAGGCATATAAATCTAAAATGTAATATTAACGGAAAATTTATTTATAATTATTTAGATGTATTTTTACTTTTTCAAAATAAAATAAGTTTCTCTTTATTTGTAACTTTTTTCTACTTTTCGAAAAAGCTAAAATTTTGCAATTATATTTTTTTCAACAAAAAATATGTAATTTTAAAAAATATATAAGTACAAAAATTGCTGTCATTTCACAATTGAAAATTCTAACAAATTCGTTCAGTCCTTGCTTCTTGTCACAAAATATATTTGATTAATGAATCTTATAAATACATTTTATTAACCCCTTCGTATTTAAGTATTATATATAATACATAATTGCTATGAAGATAGTTTAATAGAATCCGTCGATTCAGTTATTTTGCAGAATAAAGATGATATAGTGATTTTAAACGAGTTGGAAAAAATCGAAAGCTCAATGAAATAAATTGTTTGACAGGACCGCGACGGAAACGTGATTATCCTTCTTATAGGCGCTCGCTCTTTCGCTAGCAAGAAAAATATAATTAAATTTATGGCACACCTGTTTTTCGCTGCAGCAGCACGATCTCTCTGTCTTCTATTTTTGAACCAATTTCCAACCTGCGTCGGCGTGAGTCCCGTCGCAGCAGCTAGCTCTCGTTTCTTTCCCGGATTCGGATAAGGGTCCTGGAGATACCATTCTCTGAGCAGCGACCTGGTCCTCTCCTTGAAGCAGTGCGTCTTCTGCTCACCGTCCCAGATCGTCCTCGGTAACGGAAATTTCTTCCGAACTCGATACTTGTCGACGGGGCCCAGCGGTCGGCCGCGAAGTTTCTCAGCTTCCTGGTAATGCGCTTCCAGCCACATGGCTTGCAGCTTACCGTGGGAATCCTTGGTGAATTTGTGCCTCTCCAGAATGGCGTAGAGCTCGCGATAGTGTCCGGAATGAAACGCCACGATGGCACGCGCTCTGAGAACGGCCTCGCTCTGATTTAGTTCCTGGATGTTGGGATGAGCGACCGGGAGGCTCCATAGAAACCTTGCTAGCCTCTCGATGTCGCCGCTCTCCTCCAGGGTCTCGCAGACCGTGGCCACTTGGCTCACGGAAAAGGATAAGGTTGGCAAAGCGAATAACGGAGCAGGTACTAGCGGACCGTTCGCGTTCGACGGCGTGGTCCCAGCGGCGGACATCTTCCTGGAACGGCGATCCTCACACGATCCACCAATTCTGCCCCAGCTTGTCTCGGAGTCGACGTCAAGCTTGCCCGCTCAAGAAACACGCGGCTCCGATTTATGCTTGCTCTTGGATCTTTTCATGATTCGTCGGAATCACCCGCGATACGTTCTCTCATTTTACTGATGCAACTGATGCAACTGATGTAACTGATGTCACTGGCAGATTATCCACTTCACCATTGACACTGTAAAATTTTCAAGTCTTGGAAGTAAACGAGGCAGGTGTTACGACATCCAGAGAGGGATGCGACGAGTTTTCAAATCTCTTGTAAGAATAAAGAGTATAATATCCTTGAAAAACAACGGATTGTAGTAAATTCCGAAGGACGTTCCTGTTTCTCTCTCGCGTTGCACGACACGTCACTAATGATATTCGAAATAATTGTTGAAGCGACACGTGACAGTGTCGTGAATCGGTAGGAGACAGTAGGAGCGCGTCGTAGGAGCTCCGATGCTCATCGTAGATCGCTGTCAGGTTCGCGCGAGGTTCGGTTCTCCAGGTCGCTCAGGGTAACACCCACTAGGCCCAGGCACGCTGACGCTCTTCCACGTCGTGGGGATATCACGCGAGGCCGCTGTTGCCTGGATCGTATCGGATAGCAAACTGGTTTCGTTTACAAGCCGGCATCTCGGCACCGGCCCTACCCAGCATGATACGTTTGTACGCGCCCGTTGCAACCGGGCTGTCTCGCTGGCGCTCTAGACGTACCTCTACCTCTGTCTCGCTACCTCCACCACCTTCTGACTTTGCGGAAGGGTACGGGGGAGAAAAAGAGATGGAGATAGAAGGCATCGGGGTGCAATGTACAGACCACGCCTACGAGGCAGACCGGGATTGGCCGGATCCTATCCACGTAGCCATGGTAACCTTTCTTCGTCCTTCCGTTAGGCAGTGTAGGGAGCTACGCTTGTGTCGGTTTAATTATCCCTACCACGCATGCTAACCGGAGCCGGTATGCGAGCCCCACCGTGAATGCTCTTCCACCACCATTGATGCTCTGGCGGCACCTCTCACGCACCCTCTCTCTGACAGGCGGAAAGGAAGCGAGACGAGGAGAGAGAGAGCGATCGATGCACTCGCCAGAATGTGGGACGGAGAAGTCGGTAGCTCGTACGCGATCGTAGAGGGGAGGCGAGGCATGATCCCGCGAGCTGCTGCTGTTCCTGCTGCCGCTGCTGTGACGCCACTGCTGCTGTTGCTTCTGTTGCCGTGATCTCGCGAGCGAACTGTTCTCGACGTTCTTCTGGACTCGGTACCCGGTGATAGCTAGATAAGATTGATAGGCTGCCAGCCAGCGCTCTCGCAGATGCGTTCACGTATTTTGCGCTACTTTTACTTCATTTTTCAATCTTGCCCAAACTTTTCATATACTTTTTCGCCTTCGCGAGAATTAATTCCGCTTCCTCAGTTATTTATCACCGAGGTGGCAGACAAATATTTTCTCCAATACTATTACTATTTATTACGTGGTCTGTTTGTTGCGGTTCAACTAACTGCACTAGTTCAGAGTTTTTTTTTCTTCTTCCAATGTTGAGTAAAAAAGATAAGAAAGAAGCATCTTTTTATCAAAAAACCAATGAATCTTGCAAAGCTAGTATGCTATTCACGAGGAATAATTATATAGATATCTGCATTTCTTTATGGCAAAATATCTTCTCATAACGTCGATAAAAAAGAATTTTAGCCCTGTCAAGAAAGCTCGATCAAAACAGCGCTAAGACTATTGCTGAAGTATATGGTATTCAGCTTTCATATGAATGAAAATTTTATAATCGAGTAGATCTCATATCTTAGAACGACGAGAGAAGTGAAGAGTATTGAAGAACCGTGGATGCGCGACGGCGCCGAAGGCGTCTCCGTTTTATCGAACGCGCAGCCACCGCGAAAGCTCCAGTCCCGCGATGGATATTCTGATTTTATTCCACTTTGGTCGCGCGTCTCGATGTAGTCCAGCAAATCTCATTTTATCCTTGGAATCCGTAGACGAATTCAATGAAATTTGTTACATATACTGTGCATAAAAGGATCTAACTGTCAAAAATGTGATTGTCATAACGTAGTTTAAAAGTCTACTTCCGAGAAGCATTTCCAAAAAGATTAAATTTTTGAAATATAATCGGTAATTCCGTTCTATGTACGAATTTCACGAATATACAGATCTATTCGTGCTCGATACGGATATGTGTGACGTTATTTTTATTTTTGTTCGTATTTTTAAAATTCATCGGCGTTTAACATTTCTATAATTTATAGCATTTTAAATATTTGATCGTCAAACAGCACGTACTAGCCACTGATAACTTATGTTTCGGCACGAATAATAATCGCTCAGACTTTAACATATAACGAGCGCGACCGTTAAATCTCTCTCGATCGATTCGAGTAATGAAAAAGTAAACGTGGTTTCACTGTGGCGGATGATTCCTTCCGATTGCTCTCGTTTACGTTCGCTTGACGGTCGTTCCGTTACACGACCGGCGACCGGCAGCAACCGCGATTGGCCAGGGTTAAATCGGATTACGGGGCGAACGGGATTACCTCGAGTTTTTCGAAAGACACCATCATCCCCGTAGTATGGTCCCGTAACTCTCGGGGCTTCGTGTTTTCTGCCGTCACAATCCGCCATCCATCCGTCTACATCACGTCTATGTCATGTTCGGTATATACTACCTATACCTGATAGTTTACCTGAAAAAAAAGGGTTGCAATATCTTCACAGCCGCGTCAACACTGTAATCTATCTTTCCTCTATATAGTGAAATGTTATTAAGTTCGTATAATGTCACATTTTATGCACCTATTATCGATGCCAATTTATGCTTCCGGAGGAAATATAATCGAGTGATTTAATGTATCATTTTATGCACAACGGTTTTTATATACTGCAGTTCCAATTGTGATATATTTTAACAATATTTCTTACGGAATTAATATAATTATAAAATGAATTGTTTACAATTTAGAATTCTATATCTGTTTTTCTCAGCTTTATAAATGGCTCATAAATTTTCAAGATCAGAATATTGTATTTTTTTTTTAAATGAAATTTGTCTTTTCTTTCTCTGAACATGATAAAATTTTCATTATTTTGAAAGCATAGGTATATATTGACGATGATCATAATTTTATTTTCTTTTTTTTAATATGCATTACATATTTTAATGATTTGATATAAAATAGATGAATGGCTCTTATAATAAATATAAATTATAGGACAAAGGGTTAAATAAGAGCCAGATGTGGTAATTAATACGTTTAAAAAAGTTAATTTATGTGTGCGTTTCGGTCCTCGAAATTTGGACTATCTTCAGTATCTATGGGATATAAGATATAAGCAAAAAATTTTTTTTAACCAACTAATAAATCAATTATACAATGCAAAGAGACAACGCTATTATTTATACATACGTGATTTGGTGAATTACAAAATTATGACAAATACAATAGGCCTATATCAACCAATGTCCGCATCTTATTTCGGTAGTCGCCGAGAAAGAAATTTGAACATTTGTCGAGGCGCGTGTACCACGGGCGAAACAATAATCTGATTGTTTGTGTTATTATGTCAAAGTCGTTACAAAATGAAAAATCATTATTCGATAAACAAAGTGCGAAAGATTAAGCAGAGTCGCTACATTGAGATACAAATTATGTATTATTATGTTTAGTATACAGAAGGACATTTGTTATTTGAAAAAACCGTCGATAGATTAAAAATAAAAATTATATTTTAGAAAGATTCTCCACTATACTGAGATTATTAATTACTCTATACATTAGCGTATTAATTACGCCTGGCTCTTATTTGGCCCTTTATTCTATAATTTATATTTAATGATTTGTTTTACAATTTATTTTTTATTATTTATATATTTCTTTGCTTCTATGTTTTTCTGTTTTTGTGTCAGCTGTATCCCCAATTTACAAAAAAACTTTTCTATAGTAAAATTTTGTCAAATAGGTGAAACGCGTTATTTTCTTTTTAACATACGTCTATTGTGAATAAATGCGTGACTGAAAATATTGCGTAGGAATGTGTACATACATATGATTTTTTTCGAAAAAATAAAAAAATCCATGCGTGCTGTTTATTTTATATTTAGAGTGTATAGTTCATTCCGACGATCATAACTGCATATTGGTGGATCTGTATCGGATCGAGTCATCAGTACGCCGTCGCGTTTTAGTAGAGATTTATGGACGATATGTATTCGTAACGTCAAAAATTGAAATGCTACGAAAGATAAAAAATGACATTTTGTACGAGCTTAAAACAAAACGAATATTTCGATTGTTTCGGCACATCTCTCGCATGTGGGAAGAGTGAAAAAAAATTCGGTCGAATTATTTCCTAGTACAAAAATATAAAGGATGGCACATCAGCAGATGTGTGTTCGTGATGACCATTCCCCTGAAACGAAACGCGATAGATAGTTGTGGGATGTGCAATTATCTGCGATGGTTTCGATCTGTCTGCGAATTGACGCTTGAAATTTTCTCCATTTATCTCTCGCAATCTTTTACGCATCCCTACAATTTATACAGCACACTTTGCAATATATTACGTTATGATTTATTTGTATATAAATAACGCGTCGATTAAATATGAGATTTGAAAAAAATGATATAAAAATCCGAATAATCGCCAGCTGTCAAGGACCGATGCATAGACGCAATAATCGCGAAAGTACTATATAGCAGAGAGCTGCAGCAGCAGCAGCAACAGAGACGACTCCGGGCGTTTTAATGATGTCACAACGAGCCGAGTCTTTAATGATCTCTCGAGCGCGTTCGCCCGGTGCGATTAATAAACGCGCAGACAATGGACAGATAGCGAAGGTCGCGCATACACACACGCCGATAATGGATTACGGTTGTGCAGGACATATAATAGAATATCGGACGCGGAATAGCTCACAGATAAATGTCGCGATAACGACAGGTAGGCCGCGGGTATTATACCGTTCCATCATCTCACCCTCGATTACGCGGATCGATCTATCGCGTGCGGAGTCGTTTGTTTGCCCGACCCGGAGGCTTCCCAGAACAAATGATTCTGTCGTATGGCAGCCATTTTACTTTCTCTCGCCGCCGCTCTCTATTCTTTCCTTTTCCGTCGCATCCGCCGTTTTTCCCTGGCCGCGTCGATTTTCAAGGGTTCGCCAGCTCTAAGCGGAAACATTTGTCGACGCGAGAAGAGCGTATCTCGTGGGTGGGATATTGTGGCGCGGGCGAAGCTGCCTCGCCATTGAATTCCTCATCTGGCGGCGGCTATTACTTTCCGCGATGAGAACTGTCAAGAAGGAATCGTTACACGGGGTAGATTAATCGCCGCCAGGAAACCGAGGAGAGACGTAAACCGCGTTTGTGTTGTTACGTGTACATGTACGCGCAAATAAGTATGCGTTCTACACATTATACCTTCGCTATTCGTCGCTACACCTAGCCGATTACGTCGCATGATAGAATGTAACTGCGTTCTTGTGGCTCTCTCGGCGGATTAGAACTACGCGCGGTTCACCACGTAGAAGCAATTAAATGTTTCTAAATATGCAACCAATTCGCGAGTCGCGATTGCGATTTTACGTAACACGTTGCGCAGTAATTACGCGCCAAACTCGTCAACGTCGCTGTTAAAAAAAAGTATATACAATGGCTTGTCACGGTACACGTGTTTTACAAATAAACAGGATAACGGAAAATAAAGTAAAAATTTTATAATTCATCAATTTGCTTGAAGGAAAAACAAATACATCTTTTTATACGAATAATAATGAAAATTTTACAGATTTATACAATATATGTGTCAAGTATTCCGATCTTGTTTATAGAGAGCAAATTAATTTGGAAAATTGCCTCTCTCTTAGTACAGATAGATTTATGTATGTATTTATATATACTAATCCAGTTTTTGTCGTTAAACTCGTATAGACTTGGGGGTATATTATTCTCGGGCATTTGACATATAATCACAGATATACGATCTCTCAATCTATCTGTGACACGACAAGTTCATGTACATCGATTACCGTCGATATTACAATCGCTCGAAGAAAAGCACGCGTAGGCCGCGATGGAGTTATTTATCATCGATCCTCTCGGATAAACGGCTTATATACGATTCTAAAAATTGCCGACCCGCAACTCGGTATGAGCAGACCGATTTTATCGAATGTAAGCTCGCACTATTATACGTGCATAACAACCTTTCAGTCGTGCTACCCGAGTTCGCAGCGTTCGTTGCAGCGGGAGTCGCTACTGACAGGAAGGGGAAGAACGAGACGTATCGTTGTGGGATAATCCTTCTCTGCTCCGTGCGGACTATAGGGTATCCTCGCCTAATATGGCGGCTTTATTATTTAACGTCCGTCTAATGGGGAGTTCCTGGTACCATGGTCTCGTTGCGAGGTATCGCGTTATGTATTGTGCGGGCTCATGTAGTCGCAGTTGAACGAGACCGAGCCGGCTCTTTATGTTCCGTCGCGTTTTTTTTTCTCATCTCATTCGAGTCGACAGGTTCTCTTTTGCAAAGTCGGACACATTTATATCTATGATACATTTCCGTGTCAAATTATATGGATTACAATTTTCAGAAATCAAATATTCCAAGTCTATATTCTCGTCAATACAATACGCGGTTAAAAAATGTATAAATTGAGAAAGTATTACCAGAAGTTTATTAATGAATTTTGTGATAAATTTAAAAAATTTCTATCGTAAAAGTATACAATGTTAAAAGTCACTGAATCACTTGCCTAGTTGGAGTTAAGAAATGAATGAAAATTTGAAAGCTTAACACGCACACATGTATACCTCGTCGAGAGACACGTAGAGCCCACAATGCGAGCAGCCGTCCCATTATTTTCCCGACGGTCCTCCGCGCGCAAGTTGCTTCTCCTTATCGTTGGCAGCGATCTGCCAACGGAACGTTCGGGAAGTCGCCGTAGATCCGGCAGCCGAAGTTCGCCAGTCGAGAAGTCAATTTTCGGAAAGCCGCAGATCTGCCGCCGTAGCCAGCGGCGCCGGCGGGGATTCGTCCCACTTCGGGGTGTGTGTTTACAGAGGATCCACTCCGGTAGCTCCGAGAAGGATGAAATTTAAGGTTCGAAAGAAGGAGGAAGGAAAGATTGCAGGGGAGGGTGGAATGAAGAAAAAGCTGACTCGAGAGATCGGTGAGCCCCCGATAGATGACGGGACTCATCTGCGCGATGGCGCCATGGCCATTTGTTTGTTTTACTTTTCTGGGCCAGACTCGGGGCTTCGCTAACCCGACCGACCCTCCTCCTACGGACGTAACCATGGGTTAATGAGGTCGTTAACAAGGGTCCCACTAATTCCGCTATCCTTAGTCGGCCGCGTCTCCTTCCCTTCTTCGAGATAATATCGTGCCTCATTGCGGCCGCTGCTGATTTCGGAGCACTTTATATAGGCGCCTCGTGAATATTGAGACAGTAGTTAAAATGTTGCCGACTGTGCGATTATATTTCCTGCGGGTATTGAGCTGTAATTCATCTTGCGAAATCAGTAATATCATGTATCTGTATATCTGACATTTATCGAGCTACGTTATAGTAAAGTGAATTGTTCACATATAGTGCATGAATGCGCGAAATCAAGCGACTAATTTCGTCGGAGCCGCTTTTTACGCGATGAGCTTTTTAATGAGATTAATTTCTTTCGATTCACGGAGATAAAAGAGCGCCATAGAAATTACACCGTCGACCTTTGCGCCCTTAAAAAATTCGATTGCGCGTCGATCCGCTATGGAAAAATCTTTCATCGCGCGTGCTCGTCAGAACGTTAAACGTGCTGACAGAGAAAATATAGTTCCCATAAAACGAATTTGTTAAAAAATTTATCCGCCGCGCGAAGGCCTGTCCGTACGTTCATCTGCTACGCACTTTTTTCCCGCGACGAGAAAAATCTCATCGCCCACTTTATATTCAAAATAGAAGAGATTCGCGTCGACAGGCTTTTCCAATGCCTCTTTTTCAGGTAGATATTCCTCCGGAGAGACTGCTCTACACGTCGATTAAACGTTTCGCAAATTTTCCATTCTTCTCTCCCTCTCTCTTTGACTTTTTCTTTCGCTTTCTCGTATATACTCGTACACCTCGTTTTACCTCTCCGTTTCTCTCCTTCTGCCGCGTTGATCCGCCTGTGTATCTCATTTTGACGCGTACACTTTTTTTTTTCTCTCCGTTTCCTCTCCGTCGTTTCTGTCTACTGTGTACACTCTCGATCTCTGTTGCTTGTCGTTTTACTCTCCCTCTTTCAGCTTCCCGTCACTCTCCTTCCGTCCTACCGTTCGCCCTCCAGTCCTCCCTTGTTCTCTCTGCCGACATCTCATTATTATTTTTCGCACGGTTTCCCACGCGTGCCGTCGTTCGGTCGGCCGATAAAATTTCCCGGGATATTGTGTTTGGCATTATCGCAATCATAAACGCGCACGAACGTCGCTCTCTCGTACACCAGCCTCGCGCGTTTCCGGGGGTACGCGCGCTATTCCGAATTTATATCGTGCTTTTAACAGAACTGACGCCTCCGCCGTAATTTTCGCATGTTCGCGCGCGCGCGCGATCAAAACGCCGCAGCCGCGACATTTGTAATGTTGAATTTCGTCCAAAATACGCGAGAAGAATGCACCCTGATGCGACGATAATTCGGGCGAATCGTTGGCGATTTTGTGCAGCCCCGCGGGAAATTTGCAGCAGGCACATATCTGCTCGTGCATAAGACACGTAATCACGGATCAAATGGGCGTGAGATGTATCGGCATTTTTAGTGGAATATAATATGAATTTTTATTACCACGCAAATCCCTTTCGGATAAATCCGAATAGAGGGGAGAGAAGTCGTAATGGATCGGCGAAAGAGAAAAATTGTTACATATAACTTTAAATTCGTACAAACCTACACAGTGAATTAATATGAATTATACGAATCATGCACATTAATGAGTTATTAATTTATATAGTTGCGATTAATTTGATGTCTATGTATGTAAATTGTGATATACATACGTGCGTGATTTGTAAATGTCTCTACGTTTGTGCCATGAATGAAGTCTATTGTCGCGTGTATATTTTCGTATGCTATCTGCAGGATGGCGCAAAAAAAGTCACACTCGCGACTAAATGCACTCGTGACCGTTCTATTCCTGCTGTCTTCGGGGGTGGCGCTCGTCAATCTGTAGGATGTCAAGTCGCCGACTGCAACGGCGCCATGAAGAAGAAAACGATGAAGAAGCGCAGGAAGTGCCCGGGAACTCGATATTGCTCCGGGCAAATACGTTTCCTCGGACTGTTTGTTATGTTACATCTTAGCCCGGCGAATGGGTGGCCTTTTAAAACGCCTCGTTGTCACTTTGAGCACTGCAGAATGCTTTTTTTTCACTCTCGAAAACGGGAAAGACCGATCTTAGGAAGATTCGCATATACATGTTTTTGCCTTTTCGATTCCGAATTGCGAATTGATCTTCTCCGGGCACACTCTGCATATATGGGTTGCATGTGTGTGTGTGTGTGTAATGCATAATATATGGAATTTATTTTTTTTATATTGTTCACATATGTGCTTAAATTTTTAATAAAGTTTTTACAATCTGTTAATTGAAGTTGAGCAAATTTATGAATTATATATAACGACCATATAATACCATACATTTTTTTGTGAATAAGGAATAATTTTTTAATGAAATGGACAGATATTTATTGTCAAATTTTTTAAACGATTGTTTATATATAGATGAATGAATAAATAAATTGTAACGAATAATTTTGAATACATAACTGTATGTTTTGCAATTTTTATCGATATTCCTTTTTATTTGTGAGAAAGAATAACTAGTAAATATTTAAAAAATGCAATATTACCAAATTATTACATTTTATTCTTTTTATTATTGGATATATGAATTTGATTCTAAAAACTATTTAATCTTTGTCATTTTTCAATTCATCTCGACAGAGTCTTTGTATTATAGGACAGGTTTTGTTGCACCGACTTCAAAGTCTTTGTGTCTCTTATTTCATGCTGAGAATCATCTGAACAATTAATATTTGTTAAAAGTGATTCGTTTCTATCTAAAAATAATATTATGAATGTTCAGGTGATCTCCGTAAAGATCAATGAGAAATAAAAATGAACGTGACTATTCTTGAGATTTTAGGATTACTGACGATTCATCTCGGTTTCCTCGGTCATTTGAAAGAAATGTGCCTACTTATATTCTTGTGTTGTGTTATTTTTGGTTTGAAGATCAAGGAACAAGTCTTTTGTAACTGATCAGTCAAAATATATTCCAAAGATTCTTCTAATTTCATCGACATTATTGTTATAATCCACACTCTTGTTAAAATAATAATCATCAATTTTTTCAATTTTTATCGGCTTTTATTGTTTAGCAATTTTGATTATTGTCTCGGTATTCTCTCGTCATTTGAAAGAAATGTACCACTTATATTCTTTTGTTGTGTTATTCTTGGTTTAAAGATATTGTTAAAATAATCATCAATTTTTCAGTTTTCATTGGCTTTTATTGTTTAGAAAAAAATTGCAAAACATTTCTTTTCCCTCAAAAGAGATATTTTCTGTTTTAGGTACTCACCAGATTCTCAAGATATAAGAGACGAACAGAATATATATTTGGCAATATACGATGGATGGAACGCGACATCGTCTTGCGCATGTGGAACGTGCCTTTTCCAAACTCACGGAAACTCGTCCGAGGCCCCGGTGAATTCTAGATCGACGAGTAGCCGGTGAGTATTTAAAAAGCATATTTTTCTCCCGTTCACCATTGTGCTCCGAATGGACACTCTCACGGCCGGACGCGACGAGATCGAAAGATCGAGCTATTGATCGTAAGCGGCTTGGCGGTGGGGTCTCTTCTTTGTGCTCAAGATCAGCTATTGGTCGTGCCCGTAAATTCACACCTCGCCATAATCGGCGTGTTCCGACGAACGGACGACACATTTGGCAACTATTGCGGCTGGTGACACTTACACCCTACAGGCGCACAGCTTCTCTTTTACCCAAAGACGCCTATACAAAAGTACCTACACGACAATCGCGTATACAATCGTGAATGAACACCCCGAGAGTAGTATATAGTATATGTATAAGGCGCTAGGATCATTGTCATATTTTTCTTATTGTTTGCTACATCTTCCTTTGTATCGTTAATCTGACGAAATAACGATTTAAAAACAGTAATATTATCGCTAACATCGGATCATATAGATATTTATGCAGACTGATTCGTCAAATCAGAGATAGTCTCTCTGCTGCGTACAGAGTGTGCGAAAGAAGGTTGCACTTAGCGAAATTTACATTTGCGCAAAATACTATTATAAACATCTCTTCTCGCGGTGACAGCTCGCTTTATTATACGCGTGTAAAGCACATTTCAGAGTCGGTTCTCATTTCCCATTTAAATGCTTATCCCGGTGCGAGAGACTTGCCAAACTCTTACGCGCGAAAAAGCCGCTCGCTTTCCTTTTGCGGTCTCGCGCGCACGCACTCATTCACGATTCACGCACGCGTGCGCGCGCGCGCGCTCGCGTTAACACGCGTGTCAGTGTAAGCAGTGTAACACGTACGTATACACGCAGAGGGTTCCATAATATAAGTTCATCGCAAGCGCGCTGATGCGTACGTAATCCCGTGGTGCTTACCGATAGCATCACCAGGGTTTTATTTTCATTATTCATTTGTTCGGCCTCTCTCCCCATAGACGGGCTCGGAAAGCTTACACGTATAACCCCATGTTTCTACGTCGGTTTAATCAGATAAAACCCCGCTGGCGAAAATCGCTCCGCGGCATGCGGCTGTTTTCGGTCGATGCAAAACGCGCGTTTGGATGCACGTCTCTAAGTGCAATATGGTTTAACATTTGCAACAAGGACAAATATGCGCAGCTCGTTAGTGTACATATAATATTGCAAGACCCTGGGTGTCACCTGTCTGTTAAAGTCGCCGAAGAGGCTTCTTGCAATTAGTTCGCGATAATGTTGCTGCGCGAGCGATGCGTTTTATGAATGAAGTAATATTCTCATTAAAATATAATGTTATCAAAATTATCTCGCGTGTGTTTGCCACATCATAATATCTGTTATTATTAAATGTGCGAAATAGAGCTCACTCTCTCTCTCTCCCTCTCTATGACTGATAATTATTCGTTGATTACGTTAATTGAATCGGTGTGATATTTGAGCGTGTGACGTATTATGCGGCGACTTGAAAGCAACAATATTGTATATCATGCTATATAACGCGTGCGAAAGTTACCTGTTTGCGGATGCATTATTCGCCGCGTGTTTTTCCGCGTATATACGTCCGCGGGATTTCATCAAATTCTTTAATTACCAAGTGAAGGATGATGCAGGAAGCGTGAGAGTCGCCGCCGGAAGGGCGGGAGAGAGAGAGAGGAAGCGAGGAGAAATAAGAGGAACGTAATTAAGGGATTAGCTTAGTTAATACAGACGCTGGCTTAACGAATCGTAATGTAGAGGGCTGTTATAAAAATATGTTTCGTCGAGCGCTAAGTCAGCTGTGCGCTTGATTAACGAAGTGCGTGCCTCGGGAAATTTTTCTGTTGCTCAAAAGAACAACACGCGTGTAAAAAGCAAAAAGGTAACAATCCTATCCATTTGGATATAATGGAGCGTCTTTAATTAATTGCGGTTAAAAATCGAATCAATATCATTCTATACTCATTTTTGTCTATATTTCCGCCTAAAAAAATGATCGCGTTAATTTATGGCAAACTATAGATGATCCACTCGAGATGCTTATCCTTCTCCGAAGCACAAGGATTATTGCTTGTCCCAAGGTGTCGATATATATCGTCTTGTTTGGCTAAATACTGGGGACAAGTATCTCGACCGTCATCGGGTACGGGCAATATCGCCCACACTGTTTTTCCAACAAAACTCTAGAACGGGACGTCTTATATAGGTACAGGATCTTTTCTTCATGGCTCGAAACACGATATTTCACGATATGCGGTCCGCCCACGTGTTTCGCCATTTGACCGTTAAAATTCACCTCCGCACGCTCTCGCGATATCTCGTGCTGGTATAGGTGGTGTATTATTTTTCCACCGGCTCTCGCCAAATTGGCTCGCACGGAATCTCGAATTACGGATACTCGACACCACCGCGCGAGGAGGGTAGAACCTCTCTATGGGGTTTACCTCCTTCTCCTCTTTCTCTCTCTCGTTTCCTCTTGTTGCCAAAAACCTCCCCTTCAACCCCTGTACTCGCTCTCCGGCATGGCGAAAAAAAATATTCCGCAACGTTCAATCGCTTTATCCGCACTCCGGATGGAAAACGTGCGGAGTTCTTATTGATTCAAATTGATATTTCATGTAAGAGATATGCGATACGTCGAGCAGCGAATATTCGAGTCGATTATCATTTTTCTGATAAATTGAACTAAGAATGAATATAAATAATTTGATAAAATATTTAAAAAATTCAGATAGCAATTTGGATACAATTATTATAATATACAACTATTATAGTATATATATATATAGGAAGTTGAGCTTTCGCCAAACACTTCGTGAAATCTTTGAAAAAAATATAAATGAAAATATCTATAATTAAGGGGGTGATTAAGAAGAGATGACGGAATTTACCGCACCCTGCCGTGTTATTCCCGGAATATGGAAAAAAGGCGTGTAGAGTTAAAGAGAACGACCGCATGTGCATTTATGTCGGGCGTACCCTCTCTTACACGCAGGGAGTTATTGTAATCGCGGGCTTCCGTTCTCGACGCGGTGCGGCTCGGCGCATCTTCCTCAATGATTTTTTGCGTTCCTCTCTTCTGCATGTTGTGACTCCCCGGGCATCCTTGCCCATGGGGGCCTCTCTTTCTCTGCTCGGGCGTAACCCAATATAGGCCTCCCATAGGAAGATCATACCTCGATACAATGGCTGATCGCTACATCGCACGCGATCACGGTGCACGTCACGTAAACTGACGATCTTCATAGCACCATTTGCTGGCTCATCGTATAACACGCCAATATATTGCGCCCCTTTCTAGAATGGAGCTCGCAACACCCTGCACCTTAACGTTTCATCAACGATCCAAGTATCGCGCGTACCGAGATCTGATTGGATCTTTATTGAGATGTAAATGGCTATGTTGAAAAATCTGTAAAAGTGTAAATTAAAAAAAAATTATACAAACTATTTTCGAGACAGCTTTCCAATGCGAAGTATAATATGCGAATCGCAGCTTTAACGTAGCTTACAAAGGGTAATCTTCTTTTTATTTCATTCCGCAGCAAGCCGGTTTTCTGGGAAATAAAAAAGGTTTTATAGAAAACCATTCGTTCGATCATTAATTTACATTTCGCAATAAACCAGTTTTATAGAAAATCTCGATCATCAATAATTTATTCTTCAAAGCAAAGGAGCGATATTTGAGAAATATCTTTATTCTGTTCTAACAATAAGATAAACAGTTTCTCCGAACAAACTCGTTCGATTATTAATTTTTCGTAGGAAACCGATTTTTTAGAAAACGAAAGACTTTATAGAAAATCTCGATCATTAATATAATCATTTCGGTCAACTGATAATTTCTTCTTCGAAGCAAAAGAAAGAACGATACTTGAGAAAAGTATCTTTTATTCTCTCCGTTCTAAAGTAAACAATAGCTCAAAATAAAACTCATATATATATAATATATATCTTTTTTATTCTAAAGCATAGAGAGCTCCTTTCGCTCGTCATTCGGAAGAGGTTCAATCGCAGACTGAATTCGTTCCAGCGGAATCTCGTAGAATTTCAATTAGTTACGTGCGTTCTCAAGATGCCACGCACGATAATTCGTGCGTTCAGCTACGCGTTGCCGCGTCATTACGCGGAAGAGGATCTTGCCGTCATTCAGGGCAAATGAGCCATTGCGTTCTTTGTATCTACTTTTCTTTTGTGCCACGGTAACGGACGCGCCGCAACAAAGGTAAAGGGGTTTTTAAAACACGCCGATTCTTACCGGCAGAAAAAAAACGCAGACGTTTTATTCGACCGTAGAAGAGTTTCGCATTATTATCGGACACTGGAAACGCCCTTCGAGAATACTCGAATCCGCGGCACTTGCGTCTTTCGAATTTACAGAGCGTGGCATGAGTGACTTTTCTTCATGTTTACAACAATATATATTTGATTGCGCAAGAATTTGTTACCTAACGACATAATTTTAAAATTAATCTTATATTACCATGCGCATGAAAATTTTAATATCTTGCAGAGAAATAATTTTTAGAGATTGCTTCGTATTTAGCGTTGCGTGGTCGTTAACAAAATGTTACATCATATTATTCAAAGTAAATATTGCGATAAAATGTTTCGAAAAAAATTCGATGAAATGTTTATGATTAACTCTAATGATTGTCCGTATATACTTTTGTGTGTTCTTTCTCTTTCCTTATCTTAATTTGGCTTCATTCTTCGTTGCATTCGTGACCCTCGGACACCGCCAATATTCGGACCAGATCATTGTTCGATTCGATGACGTTCTTGTACGCGACAGTATCCCCGTTTCTTATTCCCTTAAAGCTCCATTGACTTATCGGTCGTTTGAGGAGGACTAATACCATAGCGGTGATTAGGGAAATAATTAATAGCGAGAGGGATGTCCACAAGATCGGATAAAGAATTGACGAATCGTATTCACATTGCAACTCGTAGTTCGGTATTTCGGCGAGTAGTTTGCCATGGTGTTGATCTGGTGCATAGCATCTAAAATTTGTAAAATATATTTAATTTATTTTCATTATTTTTAATTATTTTATATACTATAAAATAAAGTTAGATTACAATGACGATTATAATATTCATATATGAATGTAGAACTTTAACCAAGCTTCATTATTTCAGCAAAATATTTTTAATTTAATGAAAAATATTTTAATTCATGGAATTCTCGAGACATCTAAAGGTGAAGAGATGAAGCTTGTTGTAATGGTAAAACACTGTTATCATATTTTATTTCACAATATTATTCAAGATAGAGATTACTCGTGCGTAATAATTATTAAAAAAATGTTTTAAATAATCCAGATAAAAGCGAAATAAGATGATTATGCAATAAAATTTTGCACATGCTACTTTACTTTTAATCGATACTGTATCAACTGAAAGTATTATCGTCTTCTAGCTCTCACCTGATATCTTGACTGATATTTCTGGTCAAATTCAACAGAACGATCCATTCTAATTTGCAATCGCATCTCCAGGGATTATTCTCCAGCTCGATGACCGGTGTTTGTTGCACCAATGCACGTAGCTCGATATTCAGAGATTCAAAGCCGCACTCTTTTATCGAAAGCCGCTGCAATCGAGGTAGCACGACAACGAACTGCGGTCGAAGGCTGAGCTGAGTTAATCGTTTGCAACCGATCAATGATAATATCTGCAGACTAGGGAGCTTTTCGAGCTCATTCAGAACCAATGACGTTAAATTCGGCATATAATTCAGTCTCAGTTCTAGTAACTGCGGTAGATATACATTTTCGAGAGTTATCACTTGCGTGCCGGATAAATCCAGCTCTTGCAAGCTTATCGGTAAAAGAGGTATCGCGCCGATTGGATTCCAGGATAGGTCGAGGGTAGACAGATTCGTCAAGGTTTTGAAGAAGTCGGACGAGAAATACGGCGCGGATATATTCTTCAATTCGAGATGCTTCAATGCCCTCAAAGTCCAAAATGCGCTTTCATGTATTCCATCTTCTATAGGATTATGAGATAGTGATAGATATTCGAGAATCTAAAAAAAAATTAATCAGTTGTTTTCATGAACTTTAAACGCGGTAGAAAATTGTTATTAATTTATTTAATTTGTGGAAAGGTATCCGTAAAAATAAAATTCTCTCTAATAAATTTATCATTACCGTTAGATATTGCAGCATGGTTTCATTGACGACAGTGAGTTTGTTGAAGGAAAGATCTAATATCTTCAGCTTTGGTATCCGATCGTTGAGAGCATTGTCATCGATGTATTCTAATTTATTGTGGCTCACATTTAATACTCGCAGATTATATTCCTCTTTGCACAGAAAAAAGAATCGTTGAAGATGATTCTGGGACAAATCCAACGCTTCAAGACTCTCTAGATTAGTGGAGCAGTCCAGAAAACTGTCAATCTCGTTTCCTCTCAAATTGAGATCTGTCACTTCATGCAAATCCTTAATTTGCATTTGCAGATTCATAAAAAAATCTTCTCTCTTTAATTTACGGAATGATAGATCAACCTGTAACGCAAATACACAATCTTTTAAGAAATTTTTACACATTCACAAAATGTTCTCCGACGAGCAAACGAGATTCAACAATATTAAAATTGCCGTTAAATTCACGTCACGTATCTTTTTACATTAGAAATAGAAAAAGAGAACATCTAACACGCGCAAAATATAAATATAAAGTACGAGTTTATGGAAGCATATTCGCGAACGGCAATTATTTCCGCAAGAAAAAGAAGCGAAATTTATGAAAGCGATAAACACGAGCGGAAGTTGAGATTCGCGACACAAATGGGAATATGTCACCGAAAAATCGTAATAAATTATTATCGCCGTCGACGACGACGACGACGACGGATGATTCGATTAGAAAAAAAAAAAGAAAATTATCGCGAAAAAACCCACCGTTTTCGCCGAGACGAACGAAACGACGATGGCCAAAAATATGAGCCTCATCATTCCAGGTGGTATTTGATTAGTCGATGCTTTTTTTTGGAGCGATCCGATTTCTTGATGCATCCGACCGGGACCACCTAGCTGAACTATGCTTCTCACACCGCGATTCGATGAAATGGCAACGAATTCATCCGCGACACTCTGCCGAAGATTGCGGTGTCGTATTAAGAGGGGGATAAAGGAGTGACAATTGTACATTTTAATGTAAATTCCACGCTTTGATCGGCAATATAATTGCACATCTGTTATCCGTGTTCTTTTTGTGATTCGGGAAATCACGATTTGCCATTCTTATTTTTTTTTTGTAGAATCAGATTACGCCGATCCTCCTCCAATGGATCGACGTAATCTGATTAATCAAGAAAAAATGATTTCGCGATATTACGTGATATAACGATGCAATCACTGTTTCTGCTTTCTAAATTCGAATATAAATTTCTAATAAATTTCCTGCGTGTTATCGTATAATTTAATTAACAGAAATGTTTAAAACTAAAATGTTTATCTGCTTGTATATTTTATCTATTGCAAATGATAAAACTCGCGAGTGCGCGATACTATTAGTTACGAAGGTCGCGTCGAAGGCAAATATTTTTTTCATTCGAAACGCGTTAAATTTAATCCGTTCTCGGTCAGAAGTTCAAAATCAACGAGGCTAACGTACCGCTTTCTGATAAATTGGCGATTACGAGGCGATGCCGCGCACGTAAACGTCCACCGATTTGCGACAGCTGGCCGGCGAATTGTCTCTCTCCGTCACAATTAATCGCACATAATTTTTCAATTAAACAACGTTGGAACGGTATCTTCGAGTTTGCGACATTTATGATTCGTTAGAACGCGCGAAGAGACGAGTTAACGTTGTATCTTTCGCGATGAGACTCTGGTCCGAAATATATCGTTAACATATCTGCTCAGCCAAAAAATAAAAATACGGCTAAGAGATAAACCTCGCTCTCTGTGTCGTGCGTCTAACGGTGATAATGCAGCTCATGTTCGTTTTGCTCATCTTTATTTAATATTTATTGAAATTTATTTAATTTATTTACTGATATTATTTAACAAATTATGTGGTATCTCTCTTTTTAGATGCATATATTTTTTTAAACATATTGAATTTTTACGTTGGACGAATTTTGCAGGTACATAGTTTTTTGTGAAATTAATATCAGATGAAGAAATAAAATACAAAAAATTCGATGTTAAAATTTTATTAATTACATTAACAAAAAACCAAAGAATAATAAAATATACATTACTTTTGTATGATAGATCGAACATGAATTTTGAAATATTTTATGGAAAAATTTGCGAATATTGAACTGACTCGTTGTGAAATTAAATGTGTGAAAGCATTATAAACAGCTCATTAAGTGAGACATTTATTCACAGAATCGTATCTTTCTCACGCCTGCAGCGGATAATTGTGACTGCATATAGACGTCACGTATAGTTATAAATATTACAGTGTTTTCCGCGCGAGTATATGTACAATGATAACAGAGTCATTTATTTTTTCGGAGTTTGCGGGGTACTGGTAGCCTTGAAAACCAGCGGATTTGACACTCGAAATATGCTGGGCAACATTGTGGCTAATGTTCCGAATACCTCCTCCGACATTCCCTGTAAACGAGAAATAACAACGATATTAGCATATCTACATCTTTTTTTTTAAATCTCGACAGATTACTCTTATCGCGTATTTACTTTCGGTACGAGAAATTGAAGATTCTTCAGCTCGGCTCCACCCCAAGACGCCATTTCGATCATGAAACCTTTCACGCACTTGAAGACTAACTCGGCTCGCTTTGTGCACCAGGCGACCGTCATATCCTATCGATATCACATCGATGTAGATCAATTATATATTTTCGTCTAATTATTTAATAATTATTTAAATTATTTGCGTGATAAATTACTTCTGACATTTCGTGGACGAGTAGCACAGGTATTGTCAGTGTTGTCACATCGTTGCAACACGCCGTCTTCAAGATATTTCTCAATCCCAGAATAGCAGGATGTCTTGAATTGATATCGCCTTAAAATTAAGATCGCGTATTTAATATATAATCGGAGTATATGAACAATTTATGACTGCGAATACAATCATTTACCAGATCTTAAAGAATCATTCACCACCATGTGAAACACTACGTGAACTTGTGCCAGATTGGAATGTCTTGTGATAAAAACATCGCCTGTTTGTAAACTCTTGCTCGTTGTGGATTTTTTCGTCTGTAAACAATACATAATTATGTATATAATTGTATACATGTGATAATTTTTAATTTCAAATCAAATTGTTAACACTATCACTTACATGAGGATCACTTCCTTCTCTGTAATGCGCCTGTCTCCAAGCAACGGCATCTTTCACATCTTCTCGAATCTTTTCCAACTGTTCATCGATCGGCGGAAAATGAAATTCCGTTGTTAATTGACATATTGAGCATAATTCTGCAACAACATAGTATTTTAACATAGTAGAAATGTTTTACTAACACCATAAAAACTTTTTAGAATCGCTAATATACGATTTGCTACATCCTAATAAGTACCTTTCGTTATTCCGGAGTAACTGCCTAAATGATTATCACTTAGAAGAACTAATCCACACAGATCGTTTGAGTACAGTCCTAAAGCTGTTTGTAATCTTTGCGGCGTTGGATCCATCCTAAATTTAATAAGTTTTCTATTATAATTGTCTGAGAAAAAATAAAGAGAGAAAGAATGCATTGGAAGGCATTGGTAGTATATTCTATATCGAGAATAAAATTTCAAGATACCCGGATTCGCTATTTTTCGTACGACAAAAGTCCAGCACGTCTCCGGTCAATATACGTATGTTATGCATTTGTTTCATTTGTGATCCTAAATGTATCGTAAAGCTTTCTTCCAATAGAGGATAGTCGGTCGTGTGTTTCTCTTCACTGTGAACGAATTTGTCTAAAGCCGGACGTAACGGTGGCAATGGTATTATAGGCGAACCACTGTATATATATATATATATATATATATATATATATATATATGTTATGTATACATTTTTATTTTAATATAATTTTTAAAGTTTTATTGCTATATTGATTAAAATCAAAATACGAAAAGAAAACGTACACTGGTGTGGGTATCATACTGGTTTGTTGTTCCTCGAGCATCCTCATGATCCAATTTCGATATTGTCGTCGTTGATCTAATCTCAAAGCATCGACTCTAGATCCCCAATAACCTTGTAGTAAACTCTGCTCCTCGAAGTGACGACCTGCCATATCGTTTATTGATTTTTCGGTGGATCCTACTTCGAGAGCTTCGACAGCAACACGCATTTCGTTGGTTTGTCTGGAATTTACAAAAGATTTTTTATAAGAAATTATTTTTTTAGATTATTTCTTATTAAAATTCTAAGCCACAAATAATGTTTTCCATTATGTTTTACATTTTTAAGGATGTGTACATTAAAAAAAAACTGAGAAACATGGGAAGAAACTTTTACTAACTTTTACTAACTTTTGTGTAAGATGTTCATAGTCAGTATCCCTCAGTTGAATTACTTCGGTTACATCCCGTCCAAATTTGTGCTCTGCTTGCAAAATTGGTTCCAAAGATGGAGAATGCACTAATCTATGATATGCTGCAGCAAATAATTCTTCATCTGTAGTTCCAATGGGATCAGAGTATTCTACTGTCTTCTGTTTGTATATTTTTTCCCAATTTTTAATTATATCTTCTAAATCCAAAGTGCCTGTTTTGACTGCTTTAATAAGTTTTTCAGACTTATCATCATAAAATTGTAGTGTAAGCTCTTTGATACTACGTTGCAGGGCTTCCAATAAGTCTGATTCTACATAACATGGTAACTTGAATGATGTCATTATACGATGCATTAATTCTTCTATGGAACCATGGTATGGTATTTTTATCGGAACTTCCAATGTATATTCTTGATTCGTAGTGCATGTTGAAAATTTGTAGATAAATGTCTTTTCGATGTGTTCCTCTTCAGCTTTATTCATTGTCTGTAATGATATATAATTATTTTTCATATGATTTTTATGACATATTTATGAAATGATATCTTTTCTAAATAGTACTGTAAAATAATTATGTGAAATTGTTAATAGCAGATTAGAGTAATGGATTCCATGTAATTAACTTTTATCAGCATGTAGGCAGACATTATGAGATTTAAAATGAGAACACTTATGCTATCAGGGTCAGCTTTCACAACATTTAGATTAAAAGGGCAAAGATAATTCTTAGTATATACATAGTAAGTTTGATTATGTTTTGACTATATTTATTTCTCAATGATAATGGCCATTAATCATAAATTTTAATCGGACATTAATTACAAATTTGAATGTATACCATAAAGCAATTATTATTTAAATTAAATAAATGTATATTACAATAACATTTATTGATAGATTATAAAAAATCAACAAAATAAATTATTTTGCAAATAATAACAACAGTGATGTATGATCTAGTTTTTATCTCAATGCTTCTCAATTTATATATATATATTTTTTTTTCTTGAAATAACCAAATATAAATTCTCAAATAAATCAGATAAATTTTCTTGAAAAATATTTTGATCAGGGGTGCTGTGGTAAATGTCACAATACCGAAGATATAATAAATAAACTTTTGGTCGAGACTAACGAATCCTATTGTATATTACTCACATTCATTATTTCATATGTATCATCCGATCGTGTCAATATAAGTATTTGTTTCAATTGCTCAAGCTGTCAATTTGCAGTTAAGACATATAACCTCTCTGCATAAGAAATTCATTATACTATTATTAGAAGATAAGAAATTTGATATAAACACAGATGGATGCGATATTTATTTTTCCCATTTCATTATATTCATCAAAATTTGGGAATACACTCTATATATATCTTCCAAATGTAGATCGCAAATATTGACAATAACTGAAAAGTCATTCATATACTCCCATTTACATATGACGTATGTACTGATGTACTGTCAGTAAAATACACAAATGTCAAGATACGCCTCCTCCTGTGACAATGAATGATTGAGTTCGGAAACTATATGGTTATCTAGTACACTTTTAGAGAAGAGTCGTGATTGATTGATCTAGAAAATTGTCCACCAATCACAGTTCAGTTGCTCAATAGCGCAGCCGCAGTCAGCTGTCAGCTGTCACTGTGTTTCCAATCTAGCGTCACTTGTTCTATGGCATAGTTGCGCTTCTGAATTACGACAGCGTCGTGAACTAAATCTGATTGTGTGGGTGAAGTACGTGTGAGTTTCGACGCCATATTAGTTTATAAAAAAAGGCTTGCGACACGTTTTTGGCGGTAAGAGAATTTTGTAGCGAATAGAAATAGAAATTTGCACGATGGTAGATGAGAATAAACTGGCGGAGGAATTAACGGATCACGAAGCCGAGTTGTATGATAGGCAATTGCGTCTCTGGGGATTAGATTCACAGAAACGGTAAGCTCTTCCATGGTCTGATACTTGATACCGGCTTTTTGCGATACTGTGAAGTACGAATATAATATTCGATAAACGACTGTAAAAGATCTTTAAAATGAACGAAATACGTTCTCGATTGTCGATTATATGTTTTCGAACGAATAAGTAAGATATGAGAGCTTGTCTTAGAATTTTGATCAAAATTATTTTATTGAATGTTTTTTAATTTGTTTTTTTTTCTTTTCAAGATTGCGAGCTGCGAAAATTCTTTTGATAGGACTGGATGGTTTTGGAGCAGAGATCGCTAAAAACATTATTCTAGCTGGAGTCAATTCTGTTACATTTTTAGATCATAGAAATGTGACGGAATTGGATAGATGTTCACAATTCTTTGTACCAAAGGAAGATGTTGGGAAGAATGTAAATATCAAACAGCAACATATACCACATTCTGCTGTACACCAATAATTATATATTTAAATAATTGTGTACTTTTAGAGAGCTGAAGCTTCGTTACCAAGAGCACAAAATTTAAATTCTATGGTCAATGTTATTGCGGACTCAGGGAAAGTTGATGATAAACCTGATGAATATTTTGGACAGTTTAATGTGGTATGTGCTATGCATTGTACCATTACGCAGCTAAAGAGAATCAATCGAGCTTGTAGAAATCAAAAAGTCAAATTTTTTGCTGGCGATGTATGGGGAGCACTTGGATATGTGTTTGTAGATTTACAAGAACACGAATATGGAGAGTATGTGTTTATATATAAACTTGAGATGTATTAAGAATTCAATCTCTTAATCTAAACAAATCATGAAAAATTTTTCAGAGATGTACCAAAACAAAAGAAAGTTAAGATACCAGAAGGTGGTGAACCTGTGGGAAAAGAAAAAATTGAAACTATAATAGTTAACGAAAAGCGTACTGATACATTTGTACCCTTTGAATTTATCTTAAATGCTCCAAAATCATCTTTAGTTAGAGAGGAAGAGATTTATTATATGATGTTAAGTAAGTTGTGATATTATAAAGCGCGAGAAAGTTTACATCTAAATATTTTAAGTAATAATTGGCCCTCTTTTTTTAGTACTATTAAATTATCGCGAAAAATATGGTGAAGATCCATTGCCTAGTGAAAGAGGTTGTGAAAATCTAAAAAATGAAGCTTCTGCAATTATTAAAAAATATGAACTGGAAAACAAAATAGATCATTTAGTAGAGTATGTATATAATATAGCATTTGCTATATTACATATATCAATCTTGTGAAAAGTTTGTATTTATTATTCTAACATGCTGTATTTTTATAATTACAGGGGTGACTTGTACGCGCAACTCAGTCCAGTTTGTTCTATCGTCGGCGGTATCATGGCTCAGGAAATAATCAAAGCAGCATCGCAGAAACACGCTCCACTCAACAACTTGTTTACATTTAATCCTGATACATCATGCGGAGTTATTTTGAAATTGGGCTATTAATCAAAGGTGTGACCACATTTCTTACTGTGATATACAGAATTTTACATTTTTTCACCTTTCCTTTATTCCTTTTAATTTAAATCTTTATGTTGAACAAGGAAAATTTGTCGTAAAAAGGAAAAAATAAATTATATAATTATATAATTATATAATTTTGTGGAAAATAAAACTACGCACACGTACATATATATGTACATACATGTATGGGTCCACAAGATTTTTGTGAAGGAAGGGGGAGCATAATTAAAATGTTTTGTTTCTTTTTTTTAATTTAATTTAATTTTTATTTTTTTGATATTAAATATGCAAAAATAAATTCTAGTATTTATTCATAAGAAAAGCAAATACTTTAATTTTTTAAATAATTCCAAGGGAGGACAAACTCCCTCTCTTGTCCCCCTCTGTGGACACCCATGTCTGTATGTATGTATATGATACACAGTTATAAATTTAATATATACATGGTATATTTATTATGTTTTATATGCAATATATTTTGAGTATAAGTATAAAGAGTGGGAGAGAGAGAGAAAGAAAAAAATACATTTTTCGCGCGTATGATTCACTATCGAAACTTCCGGCAAAGCAATTTCAAACTCGCTTTGTGGATCTTTTATCGTGCGCTTTGGAGTGGAAAACGCGTCGCGAAACGTAAAACGGGGATTGAAAAATTGAAAGGGGAGCCGATTAGGGTATGCCTCGTTGTACTCTATCGGTTTACTCATATTTTCAAGGGAACACATTCCACCCGTTTACATCCCATTTTGCAGAAAATTTATGGCAGTATAGTTGCCGATTAAATACAATATACATATACATGCGTATACTAAAAAGCTTTATTGTGTAATAACAATGATATTATAATTTGACGTTTTTCAAAATTAATATTTTGTTTTCAATATGTTTCTCTAATCAATATCCTTTATATTCCTTTCTATTCCTCTGCATCCGGCAAAGTGTGTGTAACCACGTGCGCTGCTTTATATGCATATATATGTATACACGGATGAGTGATTGATTCGATCTTTAGTTCGGAATTATGATGTATCGTCTTTTCCCGTGTACACGATGTCATTGCACAATCGAGCTTTACCGCAATATGTAAATGCACGGGGTAAACATGTAAACCCCTTCTCGTCGCAGGTATACATGACGTGTTTTCTTAACGATGCGGCCACGTGCTTTTACGGCTGTCGAATTATCTCGTACGACGCTTTATTTCGTGCTCGTCGGAAAACCATTAGTCGACGCGACGTAAACGCTTCTCTAATTTGACATTTTGTTAGTATATCTCTCTATACGATAGATTGGTATAGAGGGTAATGGTAGTTCGTGACGGATCTCGCCGTCACGTTTCGACGAGCGCGGCGAATCGCATCGACTGACGATTCATATAAATTTAATAGCACGATGTCGTTTGAGTTTTTTTGCGATCAACCCTTATGTCGAATTTATTTCGTTCCAAGTATCTAAGATAGATTCTTTAATTTGTCATTAACGCAGCTTCACGCGGATTATGTAAAATGAAATTATACGGAATGAGTAATCACATGTTTGCGATCTTGTAAAAAATGTCAAATTCGCGCGTGATAAAAATACATTAGATGTATCTGCACTTATTCATGCAGATTTGTTTAGTAGGGCTTTAACAATAATGCGTTTTTTCGGTCGAGAAAAAGAACATTTATTCGATAATATATCACACGCGCAGGTTCTATGCAGAAGTATATAGACTTCTTCGTTGAGAAACATGCGATCAAAAAGCACCTTCGCGACTTTATACGATCGCGTGATTATTATCCGCCGGCCCTAAGTGGAGTAGGAGACGTACTGGTACTTCCCGTGACTCATGCAAGGAATTCACTGAGGCTACCGTCGCTGTTATATGTACATGTTCCGCTGCAGAGAATCGATATGACACGTATACTCTCAGGAATGTTAGTTTCCCTAGTACAATTTATTTATTCACACTATTAAGTTATCTTTTATACATGTTGTGTTGTTAATGCACATATCAGAGAGAAAGAAAGAAAGCACCTATTATTCGCGCGATAAATTCTGTACTATAAATCTAAAGATATTTTTTCAAGAAATATTTTCCTGAATTTTTCTCGAAATATTTCTGAGAATGCCGGGAATGTGACTTGATTATATTTATTTTTTAAAAATTTAAGATAGAAATATCCTGAAATTCTTATATGTTGTCAAATTCTCCGCGCACGCGAAAATTAATTTATTAATGTATAGATTGACGAAAATTATTATTATTAAAATATCTCTCCGGGCGTATTTATATAACGCTTTTCACGATCTTGTCGAAAAACATACAAGCAAGACCACTTGACAGTTCAATGTCGAATACGAAGTATCGCGGATGTTAATGTAAACCTGTAACATTATTATATTTATTGGAGTATGATATCATTTTTTTGTTGTTAATGCCAAAAAAATACGGTACTTTAGTCGTGTATGTCAGACGCGATATCTGCAATGAAACTCCGAAAGAAACGTCGTCGCGGCAAGAATTGCGTACGTGCGGTAACTGCTTACGGCTTTTTTCGCCGATAGCGTTTAGTATTTGTACCATGCCGTAACATATTTTTCGCTTATCAGTATCTTATTGTCGGCGCCGTGTACCGCAGTTTCTTTATTAACCCTGCTTGTACGCCGCTTCTATCGTTAAAAAAAAGAAAAAGAGACTATACAATCTGATAGAACATTGAAATGTTTCGAGACAAAGTCACGTTCATGTAGAGAATTCAATTATATAATGAATTATTCTGTCCTGATTAAAAAAAAAATACTATAATGTCGATAATTAAACCTAGACTGTGTCACGAAATATATACATTCTCTTTTAATTACAAAGTTTAATTGAATTTAAAATTGGATAGAACTGTCGATTGCATATAACTCGAAATTTCTTCAATTTTTTTCTCGATCAATTTCTTTTTCATATATTTATCGTGAATACAATTATCGTATATATTTTATCATGAAAAATATAATTTTTTTAATAATTTTTTTATACTAATAATTACGTAATTGTGCATTATTAAAATAATGTCGATAGATGCCTTACCTATGTGTCACAGTGCTTTGTATTACGTGTCGTTTAACGTTTAAAGTGACTCAATGCCAATATCAATCAGCGAAAAAGGTGCATAGGTGAAATTCTGTGGGTTGATGATGGCATTGTAGGGCGCAGAAAGCATAAAAGGATTTCATGGCCCGTTTCCTGACCGAGGGACATAATATTTTTCGTGAGCGGACATTCGAGAGGCACACGTGGACCACTTCTTTCTTTCTCTTTCTCTCTCTCTCGTTACATTAACAAAATAACGTAATAAAATCTGAGTGCGCTTCATCGGCTTTCTTGCTCTTCTCTCTCTCTCTCTCTGTTTCTCTTTTTCTCTCCACCCCGTAGCTATTCCATCATCTCGTGATCCTTCTTTTTCTAGGTGGGCACTCGTAAAATCCGATACATTGAGTTATATTCGTCACAGCTGTAACTAGCGATGGACGACACGCGATCGACGAAAGGATCGACCCCGTTCCCGATGTCTGCGATCACCGACAGTGCGACACGTGACGGTGAGTCGCCTTTTTCTTGATTAATTCACGAATGGTGAACAAAAAGGTTTTTTCGCCACTGCTCTATGATTTATTGAACCCATCCTGCACGCGCATCCGTCTTTAATATTCTACACGGAGAGAATTTTCTCTTATAATTTACCCTGAAAATCGTGGCAATCGTGGGTCATTATGATATTGGAAGAATTTTTTATCAATATGTACATAGTAAATTTTACTATGTACATAGTAAAATTAATCGAATATATTTTATATCTTATTATGGGAGATATTAATATTTTTTCTTGTATGGTAAATATTAATCAGAGAAACTTTTATAAATTTCTTCCAATAGTACCGTATTGTCCCACGATTACCATAATTTTCAGGGTAAATTCTAAGAGAAAATTCTCTGTGTAGAGCATAGGTATTAGACATTTTCTATTACGTGGAGAGTTTCTCTCCAATCTACTCGAAATCTTTTGGTCGTTAAAATCGGTGCTTCAAAAAATATCTATGCTTCTGCTCGTTCCATTAATTAAATGCGCGTATAAACATATTTTTCTATGATGTCAGAAAATAACTAAATATGAATAAGCGTCGCTGTGGCTATTAAAGCTCCTTCGCGATAACTGATGTCTTTTCTTCGAGTTTCGCGCCCCATTCAGGAAGGGTCGCGACATTAATTTCTCGCGAGCTTTTGCAGCGCGTTTCGAGTTTCGAGCACGCCTGAGAAACCGCGGTGATTCGGGATGATATTGCCCGGGAGACTTTACGAGCAGCCATCGGTGCAATTCAGACAGTTTTGAGGGTCAAACGAATAGCTAATGCAAATACGGCTTCTCGCGCCCGGCATTATTTCGCCTTCCGTAGTCTGGGTTCCTCGGCGTCAAGGATCTCGTTTCTTCCTCTGCTTCGCTTCTTTGTCCCGTCTATCCTTTCCTTGGAGCATCGCGCGAAATCTTAATGCCCTTCGTTATCAATTAAGACACGGTCGTTGCAATTAATTCCGCGGCCGGTCGTCCCGGTCTCGTTGGAAACGGCAGACGGAAACGGCGTCGTCTTACGCGATGGAATCGTCCTTCGTGAAGGACGGATACGATCGCGACGTGTACATGAATGAGATTGCGCCTGTGTCTGAGGGTAACGATCTCTCTCCTCCCGCGGTGTCTCGACAGTGACTTTGAATGCACGCTGATTTGTAGAGACCGGAAACGGATCCGTTCATATACAGCTGCAATTAAATGCGCGATAAATCAAGTACGCTCAATTCGGCAAACTTGCAATTTGACGCTCATTAATGTCGATCGCGCGATATAATCCCAAGTTTCGGGATTGAATCAATATATCCAGGGTTAATTAATTAATCTTGGGTCGCGCTCGATTATTGAATTCGAGCTGAAATACACTATTGTCGCCGTTCTTATTCAGATGTGAAAAAAAAATGAAAAAAAGGA